AAGGCTTTTTAGATATAGGAAATAATTTAAAACATAGGTGATCAATGATAAAAATTTGTTTTATTTTTAATATCATTATTTTACTAATAAAGTTGTCAGTGTAATTATATGTAATTAATTATGTGTGTGTGTGGGGGGGTGTATACACCTGTGTATGAATGTGTGGAGGCAGAGGTTGACATTGGGTGTCTTCCTAGTTTGCAGTCTCTCTTATTTTTCAGACAAGGTCTCTTACTGAACCTCACTCTCACAGACTTGGCTAGACTGACTGGTGGGCAAGGGATCTTAACATTGTGGGACACATGTTCCCGTACTCTTACCCACATACATTCATCATTCACATATGTACACGTGCAGAAAGATGAAAACAAATAAGTAATAAAAGGAGATGATGTCAGGTCAAGATGGGTGTGTATTAGTTACAATGCTGCTGATGTAATAAAATGCCATAGCCAGACAAAACTTATAGAAGGTAAGAGGCATGAAGGCAGGAGAGGGAGAGAGGGGTGGGGGAGAGGAAGAGAGAGAGGAGAGGGAGTGGTAGAGAGGGGGAATTTGAATGGGAAGGCAGACGAGGTTATAAACTCTCAAATTTTGCCTATTGACATACTTCCTCCAGCAAGACTTTATCTCCTAAAAGATTCATATCCTCCGCAAACAACATTACAAACTGGGGACAAAGTTTTTATATACATAAATCCCAGCATGATGTCACTTTAGGTATCTAAAGGGTTTAGACTTTTCTCTGTGTGAAGAGAGAATTTTGAGAGCGATCCTAAGAGTTCCAGGTTGAAAATACACTAGGAAACTGTTGTGAACTATATTGACTGAATGGTTTAGGCTACAGACCACTGAGGGCTGATGTTTTTTCCCACATAGGACTTTTCTCTTTTGTTAGTGAGACTTGATGCTAAGGCAGTGCCCTCTAGAGGCCATCAAAGAAACAAGTCATTCTCTCTTCAGCTCCCCAAAACCTGGGATCTCCCAGTACCTGGGGTTCCTCTTTTTGGTAGACACTTTCCAGTACTCTTCTCTCCAGGAACACTTCTTTGAGAGCCCAAGTGCCCACCCCCTCTTTTCAATAGACTTTATTGGCTTTGCACTGTCTTCTGGGTAGCTCCCGTTAGGAAGACACCCAGGGTTAGCTGAGTGGGCCTCCCTAACAACATTATAGGTTGTCCTTGTTTGCTTTCTGTTATTGTCATAAACACCATGATCAAAAGAAACTTAGAAAGTTTTTACACTTTATAGTTCATTATCCAGGGAAGCCAAGGTAGGAACTCAAAGTAGCTTTAACCAGTAACCATGGAGGAATGCTACTTACGGCCTTACTCCTCTCTGGTTCACTCAGCTTGCTTTCTTTTATAGCCTAAGCCTACCTGCCTAGGGATGGTACTGCCCATAGTGGACTGGTCCTTCCTACATCAACTAACAATTAGCAGAATGCCTCACAGACATGTCTACAGGCCAGTATAATGTGGGCATTTCTTCAGTTGATCTCTCTCTTCTCAGATGACTCTATGTTTTTGTCAAGTTGACAATTAAAGCTAACCATGATCTAGGTAGGCTGTATGCCCTCTCTACTTCTTGAATTCATAGTAGTCCTTGTATTCATATTCACCTACCTCTATTGCAGAAAATCCTTTATTGTATTATCTGCTTGGAAGTCATTAGTATACGGCAATCTGTAAACACCAGCATTTAAGAATAAGAAGAAAAAGTTTAACTTGAAGTTTAAGAGAGTAGTATTCTATCTTTGCTTCAACAAACTATACACCCACCCACACACACACACACACATTCACACCCAACTGTGTACATAATTGCACAAACAAGAGCATGTGTAACTAAACCATGAACAGCTGCCATGTTGCTAGCGGGTCTATATCATGGCTGACTACTTCAAGTTCAGTACTTGTCACTTTATGACATGGTGTTGTGAGATCACCGGGTGGCCCAAAGTGTGAAACTGTATTCACCAACCTTTTATGTCTGACCTGATTTAATATCTTGGTTGTTTATTTGATGATTGATTGATTGATTGACTGATTGAATGGTTTGAGCAACTTGAGAAAACAAAGATAGGCTATTTGAAAATATTTTAGTTGCTGATTTTAGTCTTGTAGAGCTACTTGAGTAGCTGTCAAAAAATGTTACAAAATTCTGAGTTTTGCTCAAGTGTTATCAGTGTTAGCTTTTCATCTGAGATAGACAACTGAGAAGTAGGAAAGATGGATTTGGGGTTGTAATTTCAGAGGCTGCAGTACATGGTCATTCGGACTCAGTGTCATGGTGAGAGTGTTTGCTAGAAGGCAGCTGCTCACCTGGAGGAGGCTGGGAAGTGGAGAAGAGAAGAGGAGGCTGGGATTCCAACATCTCTTTTCAGGATATTCCCCCAGAAGGCCTCATCTGTTAGAGGCCCATTTTCTACTGGTGCCAGAGCTGCAGACTGAGCCTGTCAGACGTGAGCTTCAGGGGAACACTTAAGACTTAAATGAGAGCATTTGGCACTTCCTGTTTTAATATCCTCCCCAAGTCTGATGCTTATAGTCAGTGTTTAAATGATTATTATACTTGGAAGGTGGAACCAGACAAACAAACAGACAGATATGGCTTGGCTCTTTTAATCTCTTACCATTTTTTCATTTCTAGAGACTTCTTTTCTGTTGTGTTGTCTATGCTTGTTTTTACTCCTCCGTCCAGTCTCTGTGATCACCACATCATTGGCTATCTCAATTGTGCCCAGCTATAGACTTTATTCACCAATCAGAAATAACGTGGGGGCAAGGTCACATAGCCTCTCTTGGGTCTACATGCAGAAAGGAGTCTTTCATCTTTGGGGCATCCAGGTCTTAGGGGTTGCACTTGGCATTACAATACATAACAACAGACAAAAACTCAACATTGTCTTCACTGTTTTGAGGCAATCGCTGTCCAGATTTAGATTCCAGCAGTATAGACAGCCTTCCAACAGTCTGGTAAGACTGTGTTCTCAGCTTCCAAACCTCTTTGCTTTCTCTTACCTTGATTCTCATGCTTGCCTGTTGTGGTTAATAAAAACTATAGAAATACTCTTTAGAAAAGTAGGAACATGCTTTCTGAAACTCACCTCTTGTTCACAAGGATGGATTCTTTTCTGATGAGAAATGCTCCCTTTGAGCCGTTATCACTTTCTCCTTCTTCCTTTGTAAGTCCAGCACTCCCACCTCTGAACTGTAGGTTGTTTTGACTTGTTAGCAAAACAATTCTACACTGGTATAGTTAGAGCACCTTTTGTTCAAAGTGACCTGTACCCGGGTGTTGGGAGCCAACACCTAGCCAAAAGCGGCTATCATCTTTGCAGCTATCTCAGGCCATATACCCTGACAAGAGACTTGTTTTCAACAGCCCGAAACAGCTGAGCACACTCTGATAAACATCTTGTTTTTCTCACATATCTTGTTTTGCTGTTTAGTGCCGCCAGCAGCTGGGTGCACGTGGTCTCCACGCTGCTAGGCACACGTTGTCTCTTCACTGCTAGCTAGGTGCATGTGATATCCATGCTGCGAGGCACATGACGTAGTGCCTTCAGCTGTGCTTGTCCACGAGGGCAAGGCACGTGGTAAAGGGTATAACTACCCAGGCTTTCCTTCCAATAAAGGAGAGACTTGAAGAGACTTGATCAAATTCCCTGTCTTGTCTCCATTCTTCGCGTCTCCGTCCCCACTCTCTCTCTTGCTAGGCCCTGACCCGTGGACTGGAGCAGCAGAATGGGCCGTTACAAAGTGGCCCCCCGAACGTGAGGCAGCTCCGGGCGGTTACACCCCGGCTTCACTGTGCAGGAGCAGGGTGAGCTCTCTAGTGAGGCTCGTGGTTTGCTTCATCTCATCATGCACACTAAACTTCCTTCACGGCCTCCCTTAAGGGGAACAGAATAACTTCTCACCCTGTACATGGAGCTACCAGCTCATCCACTGTGCTCAGGGCCACATCTAGATCTTGAGGTACTTTTGAAAACATAGGAGGCAAAAATCCCTCGAGAATGGGCTCCCCAAAACCTGTAGATGGCATTTAGTTCTCCAGGGCAATGTTGAGGGTCTTAAGGTCCGTGGTTGGTTTGGATCATTTTGGTTACATGACTTAGAAATAGAGTGACCCTTGAAGAAAGAAAAGGAGACAAAGGAAGAAGCAGAGCACCTGCACAATCCTGCCACTTGGGAGGTAGAAGCTAGAGGATCAGAAGTTTTCTACAGAGTGTTTTTTTTTCTTTTTTGTTTTTGTTTGTTTGTTTGTTTGTTTTGTAGTCTGCCTGGCTATCTGACACTCTATTTCTGAAAAACAAAACAACACTTAAAACAACTCATTGGTTGTTGTCCCTCTCCACTTAGAAGCTGTAACTCTTCCATGCAAGAGAGGCTATGGATGCAAAACATAATTGGCATTAGTGAAAATGGAACTAGTAAAATTTTGAATTCCAAAGTTGTGAGGTGTGGTATCTTATTGATCTATGCTTATTTTCCATTCTCTTTTCTCTTGTTTTTAACTGGGAGAAAATTTAAAATATTGTAGAACATGGGTAACTCTCTGGGTTATAGTCTTTATTTTATCAGGACTGAAAATAAAGATTAAAAAAAATCTCAAAGACATAAGGTGATCCGATTTATTCTTAATCTGCTGTTAAGCACAAGGGTTACCCTGAGTGATCCCAGTTCCCAGTATTTTTCAGAGACCCAAATTCTGCCAGACCACTGTGTCGCTCAGAAACAGGGCTTTACGTCAGAGCTCACCAGAGGAGACCAGAGCCCCCTCCTCCAGCTTGTACCCTTATGTGGTTTCAAACAGCTCTCATTTAACTGGAAAGCCCATTCACCAGCTAAGATTAAACCAGTGAAGAATCCAAATGAAGAGACAGGTCCAAGGTACTGGAGCATTTATCTTCTGCAAGGCCTTCCGAGCAGACGTGAGTGGCCTGACACAGACAAACCTTAGAAGTAACATCATTGTTTTGTTTCTCTTTCCAGGCTTGAGATTTTTAAGAGCTCTCAGACTGATACAGTTTTCAGAAATTTTGCAGTTTCTGAATATCCTTAAAACAAGGTAAGCTGCTCATTCTTGTCCTCTGCCTGTCTGGTTCCTTAGGGTGGGCTGTAAATACCAAATGTATCTGTTTCTCGCTGTGTTAAAATGATAGAGTTCCAGAATTCACAGGAAGAGCAACATGTCACAGAGCTGGAGAGCTCACCTACCAAGGTAAGGCTGGCAGTGTTCTCTTCTGTAGGGTCAGGGAGACATAGGAGAAAGGTAGAGATGTGGTTATACATGTGGGGAAGAGGATACAGTCTGGCAAGGTCACGTGGCTGGTATCTAGGCACCAAGGTGGTCTGCAACATTGGCATCCTGGGAGAGGCCCATCCATTGTGCATGAGGGATGGGCTTACTCACTGACTGGGAAGTCCCTGTTGCCAGGTCCTAAACACCCCTTTAGTTACCACTAAATAAGACATTGAATTTGACCATAAAGGCAAGAGAAGCAATGTTCTTTGACAGGCAGTCACGAAGCTCATACGGCAAACAGAAAACCATCTCATTCCTAAGCCCATTTGAGCTGTCTCACTTTATATCCATAGAGCTCTGAGGGTGTGCTCTGCAAATTGCCTTGTGGGGGAAACCCTAAAATCCTTCAGTCAAATGCATCATGACTGCTTCTGTTAACTGCATTATGATCTGGAAAACACAGCTAGAACAAACCCAGAAATTCCCTAGGGGATACCCTGCCTGATGGACCTGTCAGTGCCCAGAGCTGGCCTGAAACCTGACCTGTTCTGGTAAGCACACTAACAAAAGGGTCAGGAGCACTCTAACAGGGTGCGACTGTGGCTTATAAACTTCTCTCCTAGGGAATTACATTTTAAGAAGACCCTTTCTAATGCTCCATTTCCTCTTTGGTTGGCCTTAATGTGTCTGATGAGTGACAGAAAGCAGGACACCTCTGTGTTTGGCTATGTATAATTAACCTACCTGCTGCTCAAGGGCTTGGATTCTGTTCGTTTCCTACTCGTGAAATCTGGAACCCAGCTTCTTGAATCTGGTATATCTGGCAACTGTGCTTTTATTTGGTTATTGATCCTTATTTTAATTCCATATCACCCCTGTCTCCAATTATTCATTTGTATCAGTAAGAGATAAAATTCATTTTCAATGGAGAGGTGAAAGAGCCATGGAACTCTCTTAAGTTATGCCTTATCCTTTTATATTTTATCTTCGGAGGTAAAAATTTATTGCTTCTCTATTTTTGATTTATAATATAATTCATAGATAGTAATTTTTAAATGTCCTTTGAGTAGTCATAAACTTAAGTTTTACCTTTTAATAGATTTTCTATGCAGTAGGCTTATATTGCTTTTGAAATAGAAGTGATTAACAAAGTTAGTGTATCTAACTAGATCCTTTAATCCCAGCACTAGGGAGGCAGAGGCAAGTGAATCTCTGTGAATTTGAGGCTACTTGGCTTTACATAATAAGATCCAGGCTAGTCAGGCCCACAGAAAGAGACCTTGAATAAAAAAAAGCATATCTAATATTCATATTCATGTTCATGTACACTGAACTTGTGTTACAAAGCAGATCCTGCCCCCACCCCTACTCCCAAGGAGTATCTAGTGGATATCCAGTACCAAACTTGGAGCCTGTCTTATAGATTTGTGTTTTAGCAGGGATTAGGTGGGGATGCTATAATGGAACTGTACACATGCTCTCACATGCCCTTGGGTTTCTTTCTTCTGCTTCTCATTGACCTCATAAATCAGTGAGACTTATTCTATGACACTGAGACTCTAGGAAGATCCTTGCACTAATGCAGAGAGAACAGCATCCCCACCCTCCGCTTCCCATGCAGATCCCCTCTGAATGACCACCATGTGCCATCTGAGTGTCTTTTACCAGCCTTGTGCCAGGGCACTCACCCATTTCCCGCCCCTCATCAAAGATGGCCTTTCATTTACATTCAGAAGTTGAATACAGCCGCCTTGGAGAGCAGCTCTTCATAGCTGTCTAGTTGTGATGCTGCTTTATTTCCCCATAAAGGAGAAAAAGAGTAGAAGTTTCTGGCTGGAGGAAGGTGGGGCTGTTCTTCTGGGGGCAGCTGCTCTCCAGCACAGTGGCAACAGTTGAGTATCTGCAATTCTAGCCCTCAAACATCATTTCCTCAGGACCCCCACTTCCCACAGAGGAAGTTCTATTCTCAGACAATGTCTTTCCTCAGACTGTGCATGTCCTGGGTTTCTATTATTTACAGTTACAACCAGGTGGCCACACAAACCCTGTGAATCTGAGGTGAACATCTATGTATGCTAAAGTGAGTGTGGATGATGAATGCCCCAACAAATGTTGTGGTTAGAGGTCTCATGGGAGTGGGAACTCAAAACCAGGCCTCCTGCCAGAGTGTAGGTGTTAGAACAGGAGTGAGCCCAGGTCTAGGATACCCAGAGAGTTGCTGTACTGGGCCAGGCAGGAGCTGTGCAGCTGGAAGGGTCTCCCCGAGGAGAAGAAGGAAATCTTGAGAGAAATCAAGTGTCTGTCATTCTAGTAGGGCTGTGGGGTGGGCACATGAAGGGTAGGAAAGATGGACTGAGTTCTATCAGGTTATTTGTAGAAAGCACACAGTGAGAGAATAGGACACCTGTGGGACCTTTGAGCCATTCTGTGCTCCTGAACATGTAGTTGACATAAGGAGGGTGAGTTCAGGGTAGGGAGGCAGAGAGCAAATCTCCAGGACCAGAGCAACACTTCCTTCAGCTGCAGGAACTCTAGAAGTGTGGAGACATTTTCCCCTTGGGGTGCCCGGCTACACCCTGCTTCTTCCTTCAGACACTCCAAGCTTGTTTCTCAAAGCTCTATGCAAGACATGAAGCCCCAGGTTTCTACGGTTTTGGCCTTGGGCAGATTCTCTTGTGAGTCCTGGATACTCTGATGCCTTCATGGTGACTTTATAGCAGAAGGTGAGGTGGGAAGCTGTGTCATCATTGTTAGGAAAATCCTGTCTGGCTTTGTCTTGTAGTGATCCCCTACCAGTCTGAGGTATTAGGGAAGGAAGGAGACTTTACAAATATAATAAAAATAAGGGTTTGAAAACTGTGGTTTTATTTTGTATTCTTCCATTGCTTAGTTCATCTCAGAATTGAAAGAAATGGGACACAGCAGTAAGTGTGACAGGGGAGGGTGGATAATTAAGAGAACAACAGAAGGAACCAGAGTGAGAAGGAGGACAGATAGGGAACTGTGTAGCCAGAATCAGGGCAAGTCCCCAACTGGTAGGTTAACAGGGCTTCTCTGTATCCTGAGATGGCCTATTTAAGGAAGACCAGAGATTCTGGGTCATCTATGGGAGCTTCTGGAAGTTCCTCAGTCATCCTACAAGCCGGTGAGTGAACTTTCAGTGCTGGGTCATTTGCTCCACATGAAAGCCAGATGAAATCTGCTTAAGGGCTTTAACCTCACATCTCATTCAACATAGTCAATAATGTTTATTAAAACATGGATTACCTAGTACATTTTTTTCCAAGACAAAAATGGCCTCATGGTTTCCTCTAATTGTTTAAGTAACATGTGCTTCCTGCGAATATTTGTACCATATGGAAGAATGTAACATATGGTACAAATATAACATATGTAACGGGTGAAGTAAAACACTCTGCCCTGTGCTGTGTTCAGAGAGCCATTGCTCTCTACTGTGAAAATGTTCTCTCCTATGTAGCCTATGTACACAGCCACTAACCAGTTACCTAGGCAATACATGCAGGGGACATTTTTGAGATTACCTTTGACATATAAATATATGTATATCTATATGTATATATAGATATACATATAGATATACATATACATATATCCTTAGACATGGCTCCAAGGCTGTTCGCTGTTCGTGAAACAGGATATTTGGTATGGAGATTCCAGGGTACCAGGTGGAAGCCTGACTGTGTGGGTTGCTTAGGTTGAAGGGTTATTTGGAGAGCAAGATGGAGATGGTGAAGGATTTTAATTGGGGGAAGAAGTATGGACATAGCATTCTGAAAATCCATGTTTCCACTAGTTGTATAGAATTGGTTTGAAGTATGTAAGATTTACTAGGTCTTAAGACCAGAAAGGAACAGTAGTTCATGGAAAGGCTTTTGAGGCCAAGCCTCAGAGCAGGTCAGGTGGACAGGAGGAGACTGATACAGAGATAACTAAAGAGCAGACTATTGAGATAACGTAGACATGACACAACTTGATTTCGATTCATTTTGTATCGCAAAGTTCATTAATCTCAGCATAGCCTGGTTCAGTCAACACTCCAGTTTGGAACACTTCTTAGCTACCCAGTAAATGTTGCAACAAAAAGATAAAAATGGATGTTGGCTCCTGGCTGTGCCCTCAACCAGAAACAAGGTAGCAGTCAGCAAGAGGGCTGAATTTGTACTTTCGTGTACAAGGTGGCTGGCATTTTCAGGGTTAACCAGACATGTTCTATTTTCTATAAGGGCAGAGGTGAGCGCTTGACAGCTTTGGCTTTATTGCTCTAATCTTAGGAATCACACTCTCTCTCCCAGTACGCATGAGTCCTGGGAAAGGTCACTGATCAGTCAGACTCTTGCTTGCCTACTGATGAATCACTGTGTCCACCCCTACCAATGACTGGAGTCCAGTGTTAGTCAGACTGCCAAAATTCCAGAGAACTTAAGGGAGGAAAGAATTATTTGGGTTCAGAATTTCAGAGGTTTCTGACCAATGGCCAGCTGGCTTTATTGCTCCTGCTTGATAGTGAGGTGGAGTATCCTAAGAAAGCAAAGTTAGTCACCTCACAGCTACCTGGAGAGAGGGAAAGTAGGTAGAGAACGGGAAAAGGCATCAGAGACAAGATGTAGCTGCCAGGAATACATCACTTCTAATCTACTTCCTCTATCTAAGCCCCATTTCCTAAAGTTTTCAGACCCTCCCAAAATAGTATCACCAAGTGGGGAGCAAGCCCTTTTAACATATGAGTCCTTGTGAAACATTTCCTGCTGTGGTGGTTTGAATGAATCCTAGAGGCTTGTGTATTTGAATATTCGCTCCTAATTTGCTGGAACTGTTTGAGAAGGATTGAGAGGCGTGGCTTTGGAGGACTTGTGTTACTGGGGATGAGCTTTGAAGTTTCAAAAGCCATACCATTCCCTTCTCCTGCCTGCTGATAAGGATGGATGCTCCCAGCTTCTGCTGTAGGGCCATGCCTGCTATCTGCTGCCATGCTCCTAGACATGATGGTTATGGACTTGCCCCAATAAATGCTTTTTTTTTTCCTACCAGTTGCCTTATCCTAGTATCTTATCATGGCAATAGAAAAGTAACTACGACACATACCAAACCAGAACAGCCACAGAGAATTCATGGAAGGGAACTCAGAAGTTTCCATGGAAACACAAAAGTAACATTTTTAAAAAGAGAGAGGGAGAGGGAGAGAGAGAGAAGGAGAGAGGGAAGGAGAGAGAGAGGGAGGGAGAGAGAGACAGAGAATGAGAGAGGAGCTAGGTTTTCATGATAGGATCACAATCTTTCCTTCAAGGCAAAGAGCTCGACTCTGCATGGGTGGTGCCACTCTAACTATTGATAGTTTCATGATTGATCCAAGCCTTTGGGCTTGGCCATGATGGCTTCACATAGCTATCTCCAATAACACTTTTTGCCACAAACACACAACATCTTCTCCTGGCAATGCCTCCCTCCTTCTAAGCAGTCCTCTTCCAGATAGATGGCAAAGTCCACATCACAGAGGACAGAGAACATCCATCAGGGTTAATCTTGCAGGTTTTCTACGTAGCTTTCAGATATTCTTGGTCGTAGAGTTCAGTTTGGAAGTCCACTTCCTCATGCAAACAACCTGCAGTATTGCTGATGTCATACAAATAATCAGATTTCCGCAACGAACCTGGTCTGTCTCAGCAATGGTGATTAAATGTTCTGCACTCAGCAAGAGCTCCCTTAAGCACCATTAATATCCCAGTGACAATCATTTAGAGATTAATAATCACCATATTTAGGCCATTTTCCCAAAGTACCAAGAGACATGAGTAGATTTAATATCTTGAAAAGACTCCATGTGGTTGTGGATGGCACAGTGCTTTTTCAGGCCCTGAGGATTTGGGAGTCTAAGTGACTCAATTAGGTGTCGAATTCTCCCCTGGAAAGGAAGAGCAGCACATGCCTCCTCTCTCTTTGCCACAGGCTACCTGTTCTCCCTACTCCCTTTTCTTCAATGGTTGCTATTTTAGGGGACTTGCAAGGTAGAGAGGGAAATGAGATATTCTGTTTATTTTTCCATTGAGAAATTTTCTGGGAGCAAAATTTAGTAGCAACCTAGCTGGTGAGACAGGGTGAGCGACAGGGTGAGCTTCTGACTTTTGTTTTTTAAGTTAATAATTCCATTCTCAGTGAGAGAACTTAGTTTGAGATGAGGTGAAGCATAGAGTGACCCATTGAGGTGTCTAGAAAAGGCTTGAGAGTCAGGATTTAGCACAACCCTTGGGAGTGCCGACTTCAGACCACAGCATCTAGAGCCATGGAGCTAACTGCATCAGGCCACAAAGTGGACAGATCTGGGAAAATTCTGGATATGAGCCATTTCTGTTATGTTTAGGCAAGTAGCAGAATGACTGGGTTCCAGAGAGAATGGCAGACTTTCTACATATCTGTACTCAGGCTTTGGGATTTTGCTTCTCTCTTCATCTCTTTAGGGCTTGTTCTCAGGAAGTCTCCTCTAGCATGGGTTTTCAAGGACTGTACCTGAGAAGGACTAGAACTCTCTTCCACAAAGTTCCTGAAAAGTGTGTCTGACAGGCACACTTTTATCTGTTGACTGACACTTATGTTGGCCACATTCTATCGAACTACTTAGTAAAGGGAGTCCTTGGTTGACACCTTGGTCTCCCAAGTCAGTAGCTGTGGGGAGATGGATCCTTAGGAAGTGATGACAGGCAAACTACAGAGTAAGGGAAAAGAAAATCCTGGAGGCTTCCTATACTGTGTTCCCAGTTACTTAGTGAGACCTGCCACTTACCAGCTGTGATTCCCAGTCAAGCTATATAAACTCCCTCAGGCTCAGTTTCCTAGGTGGTGAGTGACAGCAGTGTTCACACCTGCCACCTGCATTAGAGGAAAGGGTGAAACTCAGAAGAGGGGGAGGACTCAGGAAAGTACTTAGTACATAACAAAGCCTCAGCAGTCCTTGGGAACTACAAATGGTAATCCTGGCAAGAACCAAGATTCACAGGATGGACAGTCTGTTGTTTTTCTGGCATATGGTTTCAAACCCAGAGGATGTCAACCCACACGCCTCAAAAGGCCAGCTTCACCCACAGCTTTGGAAGTATACTCATTCTTGTCCTGAGCTGTCAGAATCAACTCCAGGCAAACCAAGAACTTGGATTCCTTTCTTCAGTTATGTAAGTTTAAGCAGAGGAAAGCTCCATGCTTCATGCTTCACCCAGGAAAAATGATGACAGCCTTTGTTAGCAGGCCTCCCTTGCAAATTCCCCAGACTGAGCCATAGCCTCCATCCTGGCCTTTTTAGCAGTATGCTCAAGATCCAAAATCTAGCAGCCATCAATGACACTGACACTCCACTGTGGCTGTGGTGTAATAGATCTGAAAGTGGCTGAAATGGCCACAGTTCCATTTTTAACTGTGTGGCCTTCTGAAATAAACTTGTGAGATCCCCAGATGATCTTGAAGGATCCTATGAGAAATTAGTCAGTATACATCAAACATCAGCATGGTTTTATGTGGGTTAGCACTGCATACATACTTCGAATGCCTCAGTTGTCACCATTGTTAACCTTCTAAGCTATTAGAAAGTAGATCATATATTACCCAAGAGAAAGAAATTGGCAGAAAGAAGGCAGTGATTTCGTAGATGGATTACCCAAAGAGAAGCTTCTTCAGGGGCTGTGTCTTAGACTTTCTATTGCCGTGAAGAGGCACCCTGATTGGAGCAACCCTTATAAAGGAAAACATTTAATTGGTGCTGGTTTGAAGTTCAGATGTTCAGTCCGTTATCATCATGGCAGGAAGCATGGCAGCATGCAGGCAGATATGGTGCTGGTGTATGAACTGGGAGTTGTATATCTGGATCCACAGGCAGTAGAAGTGATTGTGAGCCACACTGGGCACAGCTGGAGCATATGAGATCTCAAAACTCACTCCTACAGTGACACACTTCCTCCAAAAAACCCCACACCTACTCCAACAATGCCACACTTCCTAGTAGTGGCACTTCTTATGGGCCAAGCATTCAAACACACGAGTGTATGGGGGCGATACCTATTCAAAGCACCACAGGCTTCATTGGGCCAGTAATGAGAAAACAGGAGACAGGAGACAGAGTTCTTTTCCTCAAGCTGGAAGTGATGGAAACATCATTAAACATAACTTCAGGATGACTGGCATTTAAATCGGGATTGTATTCTAGATCACATTGCTGAATTCAATTCATTTCCTGAGATACAGCTGTGTCCCATTCTACTGCATGGTGTCTGTTCTTTGGAGCAGACTGTGCAGTGATTAGAGGTTGCGCTGTGCTGTCCACAACACAATGGCTCAAACAAAACAAATACACCCAGAAAGAATTACCACACTGAGGAAAATAAGGCAGACTATGCAGGGATGATGAAGACGTGGGGAAATGTCAGTGTAGGTGAAGGACACACACATTTTTTTTTTGCTCTTCTCTCTGGCTTCTTTTTAATATATATTTGAAGGGTTTTGTTTTAGACAAGTTAGGTTTTAGCAAAGTTTGAGGGGTCAGTGGAGGGTCCGGCTGTGATTTTCCTACAGACTCTGTTGAGACCCTTATCAGTGTATCTCACCTGAGTCAGATTTCCTTATGATGACAGCAGCCTGCCTCTGCCCCAGAAGGGGCACTGTGATACCATCAGGTCCTTCCAAACGGGTTTTCTCTCTCTAACTTTGGGACTCCTCTTGTCTCCTTTGCACAGTAATTCCATCAAGCTGGTGAATCTTCTCTCCATATTTATCAGCACCTGGCTGACTGCAGCTGGATTCATCCACTTGGTAAGTAGCCATGAAGACCCTGCCTTCCTGGCTGGCACGGAGCAGGCCCTTGCTGGGCCATTTTATTACTTAACATCTGTTTCTTTGGAGAGAGACAAGTTTAGTTGTAGATACAAGAAAGAGGGACAAACTACACAATTTTCAGAATTCCCTCCCCTTTACTCCCACCCCACAAACTAGTTCCAAATGGTGAGTAATGTTCCTAGGATCAAACTATTTTTTTCAGCTTTACCTGTATTGCTTCAGGGAGACTTGCCTAGTTTTTTCATTCTGTATGCAATAACCTCAGAAGACCGCAAGATGGCAGTGCTTCCACAGCAAACGCCCAGAAGAGTCTGGCGCTGATGGTGAAAGTCTGAACTTCAGCAGCTCTTTGTAAACAGCAAATGCAGATCCCAGGATGAGTCCCTCTTCTCTCACACAGAAAGCTGTCATTGACTCTCTTGCTAGATGACTTCTCAAGTTGTTTCAAAACCCCCAAATGTTTGGTTTTGTAATTAATGACTCTTTCACTGCTATTACCAAGCCAAACCCTTCTTACCTCCCCAAGGCCGATTTCTCTAGCCTGCTTTCAGAAAGCAGAGTTACTATGAAATGCACATTTCGTCTGCGCATAAACTGTTACAATCCAAAGGACGGCACATCAGACTATAAAACTTTGAATAAGTGACTTTGTCTCCATTTGCTAAGCAAGAGAATTATGGATTTTATACAATGCTGCATATATTTTTTTAATTATTTGTGTGCCTATGTGTTAGTGTAGGGATATGTGCACATATTTGGGTGTACCCATGGAAGGAAGCAGAGGGCTTTAGGTCCCCTGGAGCTAGAGTTACAAGAGATTTTTAAGCTACTAAAATGAATGCTGGGGACTGAACTCCAGTCCTCTGCAAGAGCAGTGGTCCTTAACCATTGAGCCACCTCTCCAGTCCCTATACACAAACAGTCAAATCTTACTTTTTATCATTCAATCACTTCTGAAGGCAATTGCCAGTTCTGGGTTCAGGTTCCCCAGATCCTGCATTCACACCCACTCTCTGCTCCTGCTGGGCTTCAGCCAAGCTCACAGGTCTGAGCAGCTTTACAGACCCCAGAAACTCTGCAGCCCAAGCAGAAACTATGGACTCGATAGCCCTTTACTGAGGTTGCCTGCAGCCATTTAGTCTAGTGGTTGTGTGTGTGTGTGTGTGTGTGTGTGTGTGTGTGTGTGTGTGCAGTTCCCAAGAGGTTACTCCTCTTGTTCTAGAGGAAATTTCTCAACCTGGAAGCTCCGAATTGCCTGTAGGCTCAGGTGAAGAAAGACAAGCAAGCCCAGAAGCTGAGATGATGTTTGGGATTCAGGCAGTAGATGTGGAGTCTGGTGTCCTTGGTTACAATGATGAAAGGAAGTGTGGAGCCCTCTGTGCAAGGCCCAAACTTTCAGCAGGAACTCCCAAGGGAGTAGCAGAAAGAGACATCTCACGCCTGCCTTAAAGAGATGCTGTAAAGGGCGTGCAGGAAAGCACACCAGTGATGCTCCTCCCCATCTTTGTTCTTCCCTTGGTGCCCTCCTCAGTCTGAGGGCATTCCCTGCTGCGATATCTACTTCCTCTTCTCTGACACCCCCTGAGGGTTTCTGGTGCATCATGCCTTAGTGACTAGCAATGAGAATCTGTTCTGTACTGAGAATAAAGAGCTTAGGCAAAAACAGCTTTCTGGAACTCTGGGCATCCTGGTTCGAATACATTATACATATGAACATCTGATAGATTTCTTTTCTCTCCCTCTCCCATCTTGCTGTAGGTGGAGAATTCAGGGGACCCATGGGAAAATTTCCAAAACAACCAGGCACTTACGTACTGGGAATGTGTCTACTTACTCATGGTCACAATGTCTACAGTGGGTTATGGGGATGTTTATGCAAAAACCACGCTTGGACGCCTCTTCATGGTCTTCTTCATCCTCGGGGGACTGGTAAAAAAGAAACTTCTTTCTTATTGTGTCCATTTTAATGATTATTAATATTTGCCAATACCCACTTCCTTAGACATAGTGTTTTTATGTGTTTTGCACTGGAAGCAAGTTACTGCCTTAATGCAACCAGGCGAACTAAATCCAAATACCATCATGACTTTGTTGCGTATTTCTTTAGTGTTATGCTTGTCCCTTAGAACCAGGCATATTGTCCTCATTGGGGACAGCCATGTAGCTAGGAATAAACCTAATTGTTTTAAGGGAGGCATGCCACTAATAAATGAGAGTGTCCTTTAGTAGTGAGATTCAGTATCAGATATGGTAGCTGCTGCTGATTCTGGTAGATGCTGTCCAGAGTCTGTAGACAGATGGCGGTTTCAAGAGTTCCCCTCCCCTTTATGTTCCTCCACAAACTTCCAACAAACACTGTGGCTGGCACATGCCCCTAATGAGCAGGGTCCCCTCACTTAGGAAATGTCATTATAGTCAGAACATGACTGTGTCCAAAGCTCACTCCATATTTCTCCTGCAGTGGGTTTCACTAGTCCCTATGAAGTAAGAGACCACTGCGTATGGTGTAATTACAGGGAACTTCCAGGCAACACATTGGCAGTTGCTGCATTTTCTCTTTCAAAGTAGCTCATAATGAAGTATGATTTTTTTCTCTGGGTATGAGGTAAGTGACTAAGATTCTAGTCCACACACAGCTGTCGAGTATGTGCACTGCACACACATTTATATGAAGTGATGCATACATTTCTCTCTGTTTTGTATGCATAGGACACATACATTTTGAAAAATGTATATAAATGTGTGTGGGGGTGGACATTAGCAGCATTCCTACAGGGCCCCACAGTTAAGGAGACCCCATTATCCAGCCACAGGACAGTCTTTGTTGGGCAAAACATGGCAGTTTCATGTCTCCTTGCTATCCTTTTCTGTTGTGTGATTTCCAAAATTGACCTCTTATGCTTTTTAGTCATTTTTAAAATGGAAATGTTTATTTTTAATCCTCTTTTAGTGTTGAGTGTCTTTAGCCACTCATAAGAAATTCTCCTTTAAGTGTTATTTGGAAGGACTTTTTGACAGAAATGTATCTATGTGTGTGCATGTGTGTACATTAGTATGTACATGCATGTGTGTGTGTGTATGTATGTATGTGCATGTATGTCCATGAGGCATGTGTGTGTGCATGCATGTGTGAGTGCACATGGTGAATGTGTGTGTGTATGTGTGTGTGTGTGTATGTGTGTGAATACTTGCACCATTCTACAAGCCTCTTATCTACTTCTCTTCAGGAAGAAGATGCCAACTCATTTATGCTTGCCTCCTTTATATTTTTCTTGACTGTGGTTTGTTGTTTTCTACTGTCTAGGTCGATTCACATTTGTTTCATTCTGTGTATTTCTAGGAGCTTTCCCCTTTGTCCTGTTATTGTTGTATAATCCAACACATGAATCCGCACCTTCGCAGGTCTAATCCTTTTGTGTTTTCAGATCTTAGTATCCCCCTTCTTAAAAGGTCACCCTTTCTTTGGCCTGTCTTTTTAGTCTCTCTCTGTCTCCCCTCTTCTCCTCAGGCCATGTTTGCCAGCTACGTCCCTGAAATCATAGAGTTAATAGGAAACCGCAAGAAATACGGGGGCTCCTATAGCGCGGTTAGTGGAAGAAAGTAAGTATGCCAAGAGGTTTCGCGGCCTCCGCGGCGTAGGAGCCTCTCTGCATGCCATTTCTGTTTGGCTCTTGTTTCTTTGTCTCATGCATGTAGGCAATGTTTGCCCGCTACGTGCCCGAAATTGCTGCTCTCATCCTGAATCGGAATAAATTCGGCGGGACTTTTAACAAACATGGAGGCAGAAAGTAAGTCAGTTGCACCTGAGGACGTGTGCTTGAGTGACTTGAAAAGTCCCTCCAGCAGTAGCGTTGAATTGACCCCTTTCCTCCTCCATCCTGCCTGCTTTTTTTTTTTTTAATGAGGGAGGGTGCACATTCTGCAGGAGAATGGTTTCAGAGCATGGGAGATGTCTGGACCATCTTGAGGTCTTGTGGCCATTCACAATTTGTAAGAGATAACAGTAAATTTTATTCAAAGGTGTCCGTGTGCACCTGGAACCATATCTTCTGCCCTCATACCTTACCATACACACCAAGCTCATTTCATGACCTAGTGATATGATCAAATTCTGGTCTCTGCAACTTAGGTCTCATGACCTCCTAGTAGGTTTGGCACGTACACTAATGGGGGCTAGAAGTCTTTTCCCACTGTCCTTTGTTTCAAGCACAGGGCAAGGCCTGGCCCATCCTCCCTACTAGAAACTCCAGTGGCTGAAAGGAGGTCTTGTTGTTAAAGGGTTTGATTACACGGTGGAAATGCCTCCTGGGCAGGAAGTATTACAGTTAGGGCGTCAGGGTGCCACAGGCAATTAGTAATGTGGTTTTTTTTGTTTGATTTCTCAAACGTGAAAGTTTTCTTCTTGGGAACTATTTAAGTTTCTGCTCAGGTGAGTTGATCAGCATCAGTATCATCGGCACCAATATCAGAGTATGAGTCAGACAGAGACCAGAAGTTTTATTCTGATGTTGATGTTGGGAAATTATTCTTTTGATCTTCTAACAGGGCTATCTCAATGGAGGAGCTAAGGTGGCAGGATGGGATGGTTACAACTCTCTTCAAAAGTCAATTAAGTGCTTACATTGAAAGCTCTTGGGGGCCGTTCAGGGTATGATGTTCATAGAATAAAATCATCAAGCATGCTGTACACCCCTAGAAGAATGTGCACTGATATACATACCAGGGACTGACACCCGTATCTCTATTAAAATGCAGCAAATGGTCACATTCATGCCAGTCCCCTGTCCCCTATCATGGAACTGTTTTATCTTGTTACTTATTCTAACTGATTGCCAAATTATTACCTTAGTTTGGAAAACTAGAACCTGGCCTGTAGGACCTTCCCCCCACAGCTGCCCCTTCCATCATGACAATTGGCCCTGCTGGATGGAGCCCAGTGAGGCTTGCTCTGATTATTGGGTCCAACACATCCTGAGCTCAGGTGTCCAGTCTTCTGTTCAGAAAATGAGGAGGTGGAGAAAGGGCTCATTTCCTTGAACTACCCACAGGACAGCAATTTCCTTTCACAGACACAAAGGACAGTGGGAAAAGAGGCCAGTTGGCGCCTTCTCAGTAAGGCAGTATGTCTTTCCATCTCCCCTATAGGCCTCTCCCCTTCCTATTATCTTAACAACCCTGGATGAGGTTAGAATCAAGCTGTTCTGATGTCTGGGCCATCGGTTGGCTCCAAAAGGCCAAATAAGCCCAAAGATTTTCCTCAATCATTTTTCTCAAGCCAAGAGGAAAACAGCTTCCTAATTCAGTGTGCCTTTAAGATATGGACAGGTCTTTATAAAGCAGACGGCATCCCAAGAGTCCTGGGCCCTCATTATAGCTGTCCCAGCTTATGGGTCTCAGCCAGCATCTCGCTGTCCCCAATGAAGTCAATAAAATCAATTGCTTTGAAATCTAAGTTGAAAGCATTTCTTGACTCTAATTTCCAGGTGGGATTTTTTTTTTTCAGAGTAGTGTTTGTGGCCCAATATGGGTGGACTGTTGGCTGACAGATTTGGTTGATGGGTGGTCCGAAATGAGGGTCTGAGACCAGCACTCACTGGCCTTCCCTGGTCTGATCTGGTCTGGTTTAATGTCTGGCATGTCCACTCAAAGCCCCACCTGCTGAGGACTTCAGATCATGGGCCACCTCGTTTTGTTCTGGCTCTGTAATCTGTTATCTCCACTTTTACCCTGGTAAAAGTTTTTACTCTCTCTTTCCCTTCCTCCCTCTCTCTTTCCTTCACTCTCTCTCTTCCTCACCCTTCCTCTTCTCTCTCTCCCTCCCTCTCCTTGTCGTCTCTCTCACTCTCTCTTTCTCCTCTCCATCTTCTTCTCTCCCCCTCTCTCCTTCCTCTCCATCTTCTTCTCTCTCCCCTTCTCTCTTTCTTCCTCTCTCTTTCTCTTCCTCTCTCTTCCTCTCTCTTCCTCTCTCTTCCTCTCTCTCTCTCTCTCTCTCTCTCTCTCTCTCTCTCTCTTTCTCTCTCTCTCTCTCTCTCGCTGCCACCCCTTTGTGAAAATGCATTTTGCTTTTAATGTTCTCTTTTGGGTCTCCAAAGTCCCTGGACCCTGCGGGATATAGTGTACGTCCTGTCATCAACACCGGAGCTGTTCTCTTTACTTTATGCATTGTTTCCTGGTTCAAAAGCTAATTACCAAGTAGTTTAAAGAAGCCCTTGGTCACTTAGATCTTTCATCAGAAAATATAAGCTTGGGAAAGGAACGGTAATAAAGGGCCATTAGCACCCTTTGTTTGATGTTGGTTCTCCAGTCAGTAGAACAAGATTGATGAAATGTTATGTTTGGCCAAAATTTGAGTTTTCATTTGGAATTCAGTGTTGAGAGAATGGGCTGTCAGAATCAATAAGTTTCCTTTCGCTTGGGATATGGGCATGTGGTAGTAATTAGCAATATAAGGTCTTTACTTGAGCAACGAAGCATGGATTCTGGCAGCAAACATAATGAGAAACTACAGTTGTTCTATTCTGAACGTCAAAAAGTTTCCAGATAAAATTAAATGCGTTTGCAAAAGGAAAGGGGCTTAACTTTGTTGAGAGCTGGAGTTTAGACTCTTAAAATAGCGGGCAGCACTTTGAGTTCTGGTACATGCAAAAATGCATGTGCTGTCCTCATCCACACACGTGTACACGCTACCTCCCAGGACTGAATTCAGCAAATACCTAGAAAACAACTTAAATGTATACATAGATAAGAGATTTTTTTTTGGTATGTGCGTATTTTATTCAGCAGTCACTACTTATAACAACATATTAACTTGTCAGACAACTGACTGTAAGATATGACCCACAAACTACAGAGACACAAAAATATGAAATCCAAAGATCACTTAGGATGGAAAATCAGTATGATAGAGCAACGTAAGGCTTGGAAGACACAACAGTCACATGCGGGCGTTGAAGAATATGGAGGACAGCTACATGAGAGTGTTGGAGCATATGGAGATTCCCTTGGTGCACCCTTGTGACTTTTAATCAATGTGTTTGGCACAGCATAACTATTTCCTGTGGCATTCCCAAAACTTCCTCCCTGTCCCTGGGAATCAAGGATCTGTTGAGGCCTTCTTTACCCTTTTCATTATGTCATCTATTCCAGTAGTAGATGCAGGTACATATCGGGACACCTAAGAATAGAGACCAAAGTGTTAACAAACAAAGGGTTCAACCAGAGACCAAGAAAAGTGTCCATATTGGAAATATTGGGGACAATTAGCCCCTTGTGCTGAGACCCTAAATCTTAATCAGTGTAATAGGCCTCTACAGCCCAGCCTGCCTCCCAAGGCCTTTGACTCTGCTTCCTTCCCTTCATGTACAATGAGAACTACTCAGAGGTGATGGAGGCATGGGGGATACTGAGACTCCCATGGCCTTGAGGTTCTTGGTTTGCTGTCTTTTCCTCCAACAGCCTCTTATTATTTCCCCAGAGGTTTCTCCTCTGAGTGTAATTCATTCTACTCCTGGTTAGTTTATGAGAACTGACAAGATCATGGTCCAAGGTCATATGGCCAAGGGCCATGGAAAATAATTGGCCACAGAGAGGAATCCATCAGCTGTAACCCCCTGGATAGAGACAGCACAGCTGGGGAGCCATCCAGACCTTGTGTTTCCCATGATGTGGCTTCAGTAGCTCCAAACTGAGGTAGTTCTGGCCCAGGTGTTTGGGACAGAAGGAACAGGGTGGGTGTAGAAGGCTCCACAGATTTTTGGTAGCCAGAAGCTGAGAGGATGAGAGGAGAGGAAGGAATAATAAAAGACAAGGGGTGGACAAAGGAGGACAGGAAACTAATGCAATTAGCATGGAAGGAAAATCTCCATAGTGACTTCCCCATTCTAGATGGGGGAGTGGTTTCTACAGCCAAACCCATATCTTGCTCCACAGCAGTGAAGCCATCTCTCTAGCTTCTGTGCTGGTCGTATACATACAAATACCATACTGGTTTATCTGGGTCAGTTTTGGCATTTGTAGGTTGGTCCATTTTGAGGTCTTGATTTCTAAGAGACAACAGTGAATTTATTTAAAGGACTTCATGTATACCTGGGACCATATTTTCTACCCTCATCTGGAACCAATGCTCTAAGAATTCAGAGAATAACTATATCTCCTTCACAATCTCCAACTTGCCAGAGCATTCCTAATTGCACAAGGATGTATGCATCTTCTTCTGATTTCTTATGATTGGGGTCTAGTTTAGCTATTTAGTCAAAATAGACCTCTCTTCTCATTCATGTGCTCTCTCTCTCTCTCTCTCTCTGTCTCTCTGTCTCTCTGTCTCTCTCTCTGTCTCTCTGTCTCTGTCTCTGTCTCTCTCTGTCTCTCTCTCTGTTTCTCTGTCTCTCTCTCTCTGTTTCTCTGTCTCTGTCTCTCTGTCTGTCTCTGTCTCTCTGTCTCTGTCTCTCTGTTTCTCTCTCTCTGCTTCTCTCTCTGCTTCTCTGTCTCTATCTCTGTCTCTCTCTCTCTCTCTCTCTCTCTCTCCCTCTCTCTCCCTCTCTCCCTCTCTCCCTCTCTTCCTCTCTCCCTCTCCCTCTCTCCCTCTCCCTCTTTTTCTCAGA